AGGTGGAGCCAGGCATGGTAGAATAATCTCAGCACTCAGAAGGCAGAGACAGAGGTAGGTAGATCTCTATGGGTTTAAGACTAGTCTGGAATATAGTGAGTTCCAGGCCAGCCAGGGAACCCTGTATCCAAAAAAAAAAAAGGAGGAAGAAAGCAATTGAAGAGGACAACTAAGGCTGATCTCTGGCCTCCACATGCACACGTACACAAACATATCTATGAACATATACAAGTATACACACACACACACACACACACACGCACACAAAGAAATAGTCTATAGTCTGGCTCATAAGTTCATAACAGGAAGGCTCAAAGTATTCTTGTCAGGAAAGACAAGAATAATTAAAAAACAGGAACAAAATGATTCAAGGCAAGGCTGATGGGATGGAGGGAAGGGCAGCCTTTGGGGAGACCCAGGCAATGAGCTACACTTAAAACAGTAAACCAGCTTTTATTGGTAATAGACTCACCTATCAGTAAACAATCTGAGAGTGTGTAGAACCCAATTAAAACTGTGTAACAAGCTTGGAAACGTGGCACACACTATAATCACAACACTTAGGGGGCACACACAGGAGGATCACGAGTTTGAGGCCATCCCAGGCTACACAGTGACAGCCTGTCTCAAAAAAATAATCGAGGCTGAACAGAAAGCTCAGTGGTAGAACACTTACCTAGCACACACAAGACCCTGGGTTCAATTCCTACTACCACAAAACAAACAAAAACTTTTACAGAACTGTGTAACAATCAGGCAGACATAGAGTTTCAGAACTAGTATATTCTGTCACTTGCAGAAGAGAGCCTGCTGGAGAGAACACTACAGCTTATACTGCCCATAGGTGAGTGTGCTGAGGCTGTTGGCAGACAGGCTCCTGGAACAAGCAATGTAAGTTTTTTTCTCATCCAGTCCCTCTCCCTCCAAGTGTGAGAGAAAGACGGGGGAGTGGGCACCACATGCATGGCCTAGGCCAATTCTTATCAAAGTTCTGCTGGCTACTAAGGCTAACCATACAGAACCTGGGGTCCTGGAGGGAAAACAAGGCAACCGTGAATATTCTGCAAAAACAGATCTCTGGGTCTGAAATGGGTTTTTTCTTAATATCTTAATTGTGAGAATACATGGAGAGGCCCAACCTGTGTTTTGGAAGAAAATGGGGTCTTTTGAGATGTGACAATCTAGACAGACACTTGAGACAAGAAAACCCCTGGAAGGACAATGGAGCCAGGGAGAGTTGTAGCTTTAGCACCTGACATCCCCCCTTTACTCTAAAGGGCATTCTGGGTTTCTGTAACAGAATATAAAGCCCATCACCTTATCCCCATCCACCCACCAAGCAATAGGCTACAAAACCTGCCTTCCCTCTTAATACTATTATCTTAAAGAAATAGTATCAAGAGTATGTACAGCCCAACTCACTCCCCAGTTTTAATGCCAAACAAGAATGTTTTCCACTCTCTCTCTAACACTAACCAAAAGACACTTACCTATTGCCTGGGTGGCACCTCTCCAAACTCAAAGCCTCAAACCTCTCCAGGCCTGCCTGTCCCTTCCCATACTCCGTGTACTGCAGCCCTGGGCTGCCAGTTACCCAACATCCTCCTTCTGCCCTGGTTCTTGCCATCCTGGCATCTCTTTATCTTTATACTCAGTCTTGCCCTTTATACTCATGATTGCTGGGAGGTACGTCAACTGGCCCCAGCCTCAGTGCAACCCTTCATGGGTCTAGAAACAGGCCTCTGATCAGGTCACTCACAGGCTCCACTCCTCCAGAAGCTTCCAAATCTCACTCAACACTGTCTACTACTACTACTACTACTACTACTCACTCACACACACACATACACACACACACAGCACTTTCTCATACTTTCTTTTTTTTCTTCCTTTAGTACTAAGGATTGAGCCTAGGGTTTTGTGCATACTAGTAAGAATTCTATAACTGTGCTATGTTTCCAGTCCTTTCTGTTGCTGTTTTGAAACAGTCTTGCCCTGTAGCTCAGGTTGGATTCAAATTTGGTCCTTCTGTTTCAGTCTCTCCAATACTAAGATTATAAATGTGTGCCATCACACCCAACTCATATTTTTTCCTTCCCTTCCTCCTTCCCACCCTCCCTTCCTTCCTTTGCATTGAACCCAGGGCCTTGCACATGCTAGATAAGCATTCTTCAAGTACAAATTCAACAAATGCATGTTGAAAGGATAGAGAAACATGATGGATAATGAATTCAGGCTGGTTCTCAATAAAAAGCCTGAGGTTTTGTTTCTTTGATATTATCTCCATTTGGAAGGTGATGGCTGCAAACAGCCACTGAAACGGCTGCTTTGAGTTGTAAAGGGCTTCTTTCTTCCATTTACAGAGTTGTCAAAACAGAAAAGGTATGCTCAAACAGGTAGAACATTGAACAAGGCAAATACTAAGTGCTTTTTTTTACAACCACTTCATTTTCCTGTGTACTTTAAATCAAAAACGACCCAAAGGCAAACAGTTAACTATTATCTTCTGAGGTTGGCTTCATCTCTAATGAGGGTTAGGAGTAATGCTCTGTTCCCAAGGTCACTGAGACCTACTGGACAGTCCTGGCAGGTGTGGTTAGTCAGAGCTAGCAAGGCCCACATGCAGGTGAACTTGCAGTCCAAGGGGGTGAATTTGATTGTTGTTATGAAAATCCTGCCTAGATGACTTCTGTAACCCAAAAGGTTAATCCAAGTCCCTAGCCTACCCTATGCCAGCCACAGGGGAGACAAGATGATAAGCCCTGTTCACAGAGAGGCCAGATTCTAAATACAGCTCTTACTACCCAGTACTTCCCATACTGTCTTTATCAGTATAAATGGAAGCACATGAAGGGGTCATATCACTCAATATGAACGATGACTATAAACTATTTGTGAGATTTTGTGATAGCTTTTCATCTGGGTTGGTCTTGAGACCAACTTGGGCTAAACAGAATTTGACCCCTGCCAGAGCTAGAGAGTGAGATCAGAGAGTAAAGTCGCCCAAGCACAGGCACAGTTGAATTCGAAACAATTGAGTGAACATTTACAGGAGCTTACTGTGTGCTGGGGATAGAAAATGAAATAGAGCCTTTGCCCTCAAGTAGATGAAATGGCAACCCATGCCAAATTACACTGCAGTTGTGCAAATTTCTTGGAAGTCACCTGCTGACTCTCCCGCAAACATAGTGAAATGAGAAAAATCATCTAGGGCCTCTGTCCACCTTGGAAAAACAGGCAAACTCCACGTCTAAAAATAAGCTACTGGGGAAAGACAGCAACACCACAACCATAAACACCATAGCCATAAACAGCCGATCTATACCTGCACATGACCTAGTTGGTTTACACAACCTTTGGCCTTTAAAGTCGGCCCAGTAAGCCCTAATCCAAGAGGTGGGCAGTACAACTGTACCGGAACTGAGCTTGGTCTGTCAAAGAAAACCTGTGGCCAGGCTGCTAGAGATTTTGGACAAGTGTAGCCCACCCCAGGTCGTGCCAACTCTGCCCTCCAGCTATGTTCTTCGAAGCTCCAGGAGCACAGGGCCAAGCTGCTGGCACAGGAGTCACAGCCAGGCCAGGGACACTGGCTGGACAGGGCTCCAAGGCTGGGAAGGTACCTAGGCGTCAGGAGGGCAGTTGTGTCATCCTGGGCAAGTAGTGATGGGCTCGAAGAGCTGCAGGTCTCCGAGGGCAGAAGGTATATATGAGCAGCTGCTGCAATTCCAACGAATCCGCAAGGAGGATTTCCTATTTGGCTGGGACGAAAAGTGCTCCAAGGTTGACACACAGGCAGCTCTTTCCCGCAACATCTAGCCGGGGCAGGAGCCATAAAGGCCCGGCCCTGCCCAGAAGGGTCGCACGCAGCGCCTGGCTCCGAACCTCCCGACCTGCCGCGACCGAGAGAGAGAGAGAGACCGAGCGTGCCCCGAGTCTCTTCCCTCAGTACGCCCGCGCCGCAAGTCCCCGCACCGTGATAGTGACACCCCCTCACTCCGCCGCCACGCCCCCGCCGCGCACCCACCTGGGCGCCCAGCACTTCACCGCACCGCTGTCTGCCTCTCTGAGGGACGGCGCGGGTTTTTCTGCGCATGCGCGTAGGCGGCCCCGCCCCACAAGCACGCGCTGCGGGCTGCCCACCCCAAGCACCCCGCGTTCCAGCCAAGCTGGCTCTGAGCATGCGCACTGGCGTCCGGCGGCAGCTGCGGCTGGAGCATGCGCTGGCGGAACAGCGGTTCCCGCGCATAAGGGCTAGGGCTCGCCCAAAGGGGCGGGGGCACCAGTGCAGGCTGCGAGGCAATGTCGTGGGCAACTGGAACCCCGATGGCTGCCCACGGGAGTCGCCGTCTGACCTGGTCCATACGTGGCCCCGAAATGCGCATTCGAGACGTACAGTCCTGTGCCGGCAAAGGAATGTAGGGATTCTAGGGGCGGGACCTGTGCCAAGGACCCGGAGGCCAAGACTAGGAGATGGGGATACAGCGAGCCAAGAAAGAAGCAGGACACAGGCAGAGACGCAGCTGGGAAGCGGGACACAGAAACTCGACCGGCAGAGGCAGGCCGTTCCGGACGTGGGGACCAGATCCGCGATGTTGGACAGAGGCAGCCATCCTAGCACTGGAGGAACCCACAGGGCTCTCTGCAGAATCGGGCTGGGAGGCAGGGGAGTCGCTGACTTGCTTAGCTAGATCGCCGCTCCCACAGCGGTGGACAGGAGACTATGATGGCCACAGTGGCTTTGATGAGGTCAGAGATCACAGTGGCCTATGGGTTATGCTCAAAGTCCTGAGGGATCCTGGAGGGTGCGGCGAGAGAGGCAGTTCACAGCCTTTAGGAGAGAGGAATCGGGATGCCCCTTGTAGAGGACAGACAGGGTGGTGGGATCAGAGTCCTCAGAGGGTGAGAGCTGCACTAGGAACCTCCAGACAGCTCTTTGGGGCCATCACAGGCCTCTGTGTTTGGGGCGGGGTCTCGCCAAAGGTTTCCGATAAGGACCAAACGGGAGCTCAGCTGACGATGCACGCGACTCGAGCGAAAACTCTTTTAGCAGGCGGATGCACTGATGAACCTGCCGGGTTATGTGGGTGCAGAGCCATGCTCAGTTCGCGCCCTGCCCACAGGTTCAGGCGGTCCCGCAGCGCCCCCGTCGCTCGCGTCGCTGCATCCTCCGCAGGCGCCGCGTCCACGCGTCTCTCCAGGGCAGCACGAGGCTTCCACCCGCTGCGCTGAGCCCAGGTCCCCGGCCCCCGGCGCTCCCGGCCACGGCCCCTGATCCGCCCCCCAACAGCAGGTAGCGCCGGCCAGGTAGGAGGCGCGGGCAACCGCAGGCCGCGTCGCGGGTTGGTACCCACAGCGCGCTGTTCCCGCGCCGAGCGCGCTCCTCGCCGCTGCGGAACACCGCGAGCACAGTCACCGGGAAGCGTGTCCACGCGCCCCGTGCTTCGCCGCGGGCACCCACTGCCACCTGCACCGCTGCGGGGAGGACAAGAGAGGGACTGGGTTGGGGGGGACGGGCAGGAAGGGGACGGGCCACGTGGAGGACCACAGGGTGCCCACCCGGAGTAGGAAGGACACAAAGAGGCCACCCACCAGAGGGAGGCACATGGAGGGCATAGGGCAGTGGATGGGCCGGCCCAGCATCAACAGGAGACCTGAGTAAAAGATGAGCCTTGAGGTATAGCCAAGGTCAAGATATTCAGTGGGGAAGCTGGGGTTGAGACAAGGAGGCTGAGGTGAGGCAACCTACCATAGTCCTTCCTGCAGAATTTCTTCAGGCTGATTCGGTAACTGCCACGGGCAGGTCTGCAGTGAGACTCGCAATCTAGAGAAAAGGGATGGCAGCTGGCATAGTCCCAATGCCTCTTCAACAGCCCTGCTTTAGCAGTAGCTCCCTCCCCCAAGGTCATACCAGTCTGGGGCTCTGGTGTCCACTCACCTTGTGGCTCCACAGGACTGCTTTCTTCAGTGGGTCCAGTGGCAGGGGTCCCTAGAGAGGATGAGAGAATAGCTTTTGATGGGGGAGTAGGGGTATTTGAAAGGCCCAGGGGCCAGATAGACAGCAGTCTGCAGCTGATGTGACTTTGGCTGAGGTGGCTGAGGCAGGGAAGGGTCACTCACTAACACAGGGTGCCACGGGAGAGCGGCTCTGCTGGAAGCCTGGGGCACAACGGTTACAGGTAAGACCAGTAACACCATCCTTACAGGGACACTGGCCTGTAGTCTGGTTACAGGTTTTGCCAGCAGCACCAACTGGGTGACAGTCACAAGCTAAGGATAGAAAATGAAAAGTCCTGGTCAGAGGCACATCTGGGGTTCTGAGAAAGTAGATCATGAAGGCATGCAGTTTGGCAGGCTCACCTCTGCAAGCATGACGGTCACTCAAGGCCCGGCCTGGGTCCCGATAGAAGCCCTCCCGGCAGTAGTGGCAGTGGCGACCAGCAGTGTTGTGCCGGCAGTTGAGGCAGACACCACCACTGCGGCGGCCTGAGAGTCGGTACAGCTCCATGTTGAAGCGGCAGCGTCTGGCATGGCCATTGCAGGAGCAAGCTGCAGGGAGGGATCAGTCAGGGGCAGGCCTGCCTGGTCAGAAGTCCCCAGGCCACCCTCCAAGGCCTCACCAAGGCAAGCGTGGGCTTCCTGTGATGTAGCACGCTGCCATGGTCTGTCACAGTAGAAGGGCTTGCAGCGGCTGCAATCAGAGCCCTCAGTACCATGCCGGCAGTCGCAGATCAGGTGGCCATGGGTGTCCAACAGGCACTGTGAGGCATGCCCATTGCACTTGCAACGACCTCCCACCTGGAGCTCAGTGGCTGAGTAGGAGTAAGGGACAATGGCCTCCCAATCCCTGGAATCCCCCAGCATGCCAGGCCTTGTGAGTAATATTCGGATATCTGTGGCAGTCACCCAGTCTTGGAGCACTGGACTGTTGTCTAGATCCAGGCTGGGTGGGCTGCCGTCCTGCACACTGAAGGCCAGAAGGCCTCCACCATCAGGCTGGGCCTGGGGGGCTGGAAAACAGAGGGCCTCAGGCCCTGGACCAGCAGGGCCATCAACAGGAGCAGGCGGTCGGCCGTAGTCCAGGCCACAGCTGGAAGAGAAGAAGCCCAGGGGGGCCCAGCTGTGGCCATGATCCTGTGACTTGAGCAGGGCCACGGAGGCTGGGGGAGCTGAGCAGAAGCGCAGGCTCACGAAGACAAGTTCAAAAGCCTTGCCTAAGGGCACTGTGAGGGTCACGTTAAGGGGTGTCCGTTGCAGCAAATCGGAGCGCCAGCACAGAGGACTTGCAGTGCCCCCAGCAGAGGTCAGGAGGGCGGCAGGGTGTGCCCGCCGCGGGTCCGAGGCGTCACAGGCTCGATTGGCTGGACGCCCGCACGTGCTGGACGCCAGCACCTCACGGCCTAGAGCAGCGTTGACCAGGCCCGGAACACAGCAGCGGGGCGCCCCGGCCTCATCATAGCAGGGGTCGGCGGGTGCCGGCGGCCCTGGGCTCAGTGCAGCGGAGAGAGTGCTCGCGGTCAGCAGCAGCCCCCAGGGCCAGCGGGGCATGGTTGGGTCAGCCAGTGGCTCCTGCCGGACGATTCTGCCCTCGAAGAGAGAGAACCCTGTCGGAGGCTCGGTCCCCGGGGTCTGCAGTGCCAAGCAAGCAAAGCCCCTCGGCGGCCCCAGCCCAAGCCCAGAGGTGGGAGCAGCTGCGGGCACGCCTAGGGCCGGAGCACAGCAGTGGGGATGTTGGCGCGTCTTCTGGCTGGGCCTGGAGCGATGACAGGCGTCGCCTCGGCTCCCAGTGCCTCCGCCCGCGAGGCCCCACCCGCCGCCGGCTGCCTGCACTCACCCACCGAGGGCCAGGAGGAGCAGATTTCCCGGCCTCCGGGGAAGGGCCCTGGGCGGGCGGGGCATGGGGCGCCCGGGCTGCCGCCTCCTCCCAGTTGCAGCGAGGGCTGGCGAGCTGTGCCAGGAGGGGGTGGGGGGCGCCGCAGGCGCGAGCCTGGTCCCAGCCGGGGGCGGGGCTGCTCGGGTCGGGAAGGAGGGAGGGGAGGGGGCCTCGTCCACACAGAATCAGAAGCAAATTCAGACACAGGCTGGGCCAGCGCAGGAGGGGGCTGGGAGGCCCGAGAGCCGGGGGAGGGGCTGGAGAACCAGGAATGTGCTGTCGGGAGGGGTCTGGTGGCTCAGTCTTGCAGCCAGAAGGACCACCCAGCAGGGTCCTCGGCCAGAAGCCAGGCTTTGACTGCTCCTGGGGTGGTGCCACGTGCTGGGCTGGGGTCTGGGCCACTCCTCCCTGAGGCCCATCATGCAGGCACAGCTCTAGGTATGAGGCCTTTAGTCTCTGGATGCTAACCCAGAGTAGGGGAAAATCAGTGGGGTTAGCCATTGTAGGGTATCCCCAAGGAGCAGTCTGTTGTAGTAAAAACGCAGGTCTGATTTTCTGTCCAAGCTGTTTGGATTTCTGGTTGTGTGGCTTGGGTTCCTCAATTTCCTCATCAACCAAAATGCATGCTGTTCAGTATGTTCTGAGTTGCTGGGAAGATCTATCTGATGAGCCCTTATAGATATCATCCTAAGCTAGGACTTCAACTACAGAGGGCCTGAGCTCTGCTTAGTGATGAAGTCACTGTTTCCAAGTGGGATCAACCAATCTCTTAGCCCAAAGCTATATCCTGGGTCTCAGTGTATAGCTGTCATGTGATGGCCCCAGCTGTTCATAAGGTCTTGGAGGCTTTGGGAGGGGGCAGAGAGCACAACCTATCTGATGTCCCCTTGAAGTTCGGGGTTTGATCACCTATTGAAGACCCCTATGAAGAGGTAAGGAGTGGGGTTTGACCCATGGAGATGTCACAAATCAATCAAAATCCCTGGACCTGCTGGCCCACATCCCAGTAAATTAAGCAGATGCCCAGGTGAGTGGCCTTATCTGCTGGACATGGCAGCTACATGAGAGTGGTGGTTCCTGTCAAGAGGGCCCAGAGGCTTTCCCCACTGTCTTTGGTCCTTGACAAACAGGCAAGAGTCCCAGGGAGAGCTGAGGTTGCCATCATGCAGAATAGACAGGGAAACTGTCCCACCTTGGGAGCAGTCCTGAGGTCTAAATACCCAGTTTCAGAAGGGAGGCTGACTCCAGGCCAGTCCTGGCCGATTAAAAGGCCATGTGGGTATGTCTGTGTACACATAGCTGCCACTTTGGACTGAGAGTGTTCCTAAAAGAAAGAGAAACAAAAGTACTCTGCTTTTCAGAAGAGGAGTAGTAGAGCAAGGACACTGGAATCTTTCAGGGCAAAGCCAAGGTTGCACAGGGAGAAATAACTCGAGAAGCAGAAAGACAGTAGATGGACACACGGCTTAGCCTCTGGAGTAACAGACTCCCTGGCCCAAGGCATTTTCCCAGACCTGATGTCCACACATGGAGGAATGAATGGTGGAGGAACGGGTAGCCTAGAAAGGTTAACCTCTCCTTTCACCTGGACAACCCCAGAGCCCTGTCCTTTGGCTTCTCAAGAAAGTAAACTAGACAGAATGTGTTGTTTACAAGCTCCTAAGCTCTGCTCTGCTCTGGGGTGGGTCAAGTTCAGAACTAGCCCCATTCCAAACACCTTCAAAGACACCACCACCACCCCCACCACCCCCAGCCTCACAGGAATGGAAGTTTGGTAGGGGCATGGGGGATGGAACCAAACAATCTGGTAGATGGAGAGAGACTTAGGAAAGAGAAAAGCCTCCAGGGATACCCAGGCTGTCTCCTGGACTTCTGTCTCCTGCTAGAGTCCCCAGCCTATCAGCCACCTGAGGTAGAACAGCAGGAGCAGCCTTTTACCCTAACAGTGAAGCCAGCTTTGCCTCTAGCTCAGCCTGAGAGCTGCAGCTGCCAGGGGCTGCAGAACATCTGGTGTATTCTAGTGTGGGTGGAAGTTGGGGATGGCCTCAGGCTTGATTGGGTCGGAGGGGAGGGGATGGTGGAGATGGGGATAGGGGCCCAAATGGCTATTGCATCACCAGCTCTTCAGGGAGGAGGCTGTGGGCTTCAGATCTCTTCCTAGAATTGCCCTCTGTACACTCTCTGGCCCTGGGGCTACTCTGGCAGATGGTGTGCTGGGAGTTGGGGAGAGTTTTCCCCACAGCCCCCAGGGAAGGTTCATTACTCTCCCTGGACTCAGCCACCTGTCCCAGCCCCTAGACAAGAGTCCTCACAGGCTTCCCATTTCTCAGGTCCCTACCCCCTCCAGGCACTTTCTGCTAGAGAGCTCCGCCTCCCTGCCTCACACCTGCAGCTGCTCAGACTCTGCATTCACCCCAACTCAGTGACAGCAGCTGGCTTTAAGGCACAGACGGAGAAGACAGGACAGAGGAATTTAACAGTTTCAGGCCCCAGGGAGGTGCTGACCGCCCGAATAACTCCCTGCCCAACTCAAAATCTACTGTCCCCTCCAGACATTTGCGAGCCACCACTTGTTCTCGCCTTGTACAAACATTTATTGAGTGCCTACTATGCCTCGTGGGGCTCCAACCCAGAAAGGAAGGCAGGCAGCTCGGGGGGAGGCACGGATCCCAGGCGCCAACCCTATCCGGCCATGCTCAGTCAGGCCTGCTCGGCGGTCGCGACCATCTCAGCGCGCCAAGCGAAAAGCTGAAAAGCAACACTGGGCGGAGGGAGGGAGGGTGTTGGGGGAAGGGCAGAGGAGGTGGGAGGAGGAAATGAAATGGCCCCTAGCCCTTCTGTCCTGGCTTCCTAAAGATTGGAAAGAAACGATTTGGGGAGGGGGTCTTCAGTGACCCGCTCGCGGCACCAGGAGGCGGCGCCCCTCTGGCCGTGACCTCGCGGGGAAGCGGCCCCACGCACGGGCTCAGGCAGCCCCCGGCTCCCGCAGCTCCCCGCGTCCAGCCCTCCGCCGCCGCTGCGCGCGCCAGCACAGGAAGACGGCGGTCAGAAGCCCGAGGCCAGTGCCAAGCGCGGTCAACGACGAGGCCTGGGCCAGGTCCAGGCGGGGTCCGCGCAGGGAGAAGGTGATACCCGTGCCGGCTGCTCCGGCCAGCACCGCCAGGGCGCCGAAGGGCAGGACGCAGCGCGGCCACGAGCCTCCTGCGCCGCCGGTGGCCAGGAGCAGCGCGCGCAGGGCCCCGGGGGATTCTGGGGTCGCCAGGCCCGGCGGGGCGGGCTCGGGAGAGGGCTGTGGCGCTCTCATGCTTCCGACGTGGTGGCCGTTCTTGGGGGTACGGTGAGTGCCCCCACAGCCCCAGCTCACATCCTGGCCTGCCACGTCAGAGCAAATTGGCCCCGGACGCGATGACGACACCGGAGACGCTCAGGAGTTTCACTGCCTCCTCCTGGCTTTGGCAGGGAATGGGGTGCGCGGGGGTTAATCTCTGAAGTGTTTCCCCTACCTGCGGGGGACCTCTTACAAATACCCTTTCCAATTCCACCTGGTGTGTCTCCTTGGTGCACACCGGAGCAATCAGCTGGACACCATCAGGGCCCTAGACTCGCAGTAGGGTAAAGTCATGAAGTCAAGAAACACTGGGCTCTCCAGAGCTTGGCCAGAGACAGGTGGACAGTCCCCTGACTCTCTGGGATTTAAGATACAGGGAGGGCAGGGCACTGAGTCAGCTTGGCCAGAGACAGGTGGACAGTCCCCTGACTCTCTGGGATTTAAGATACAGGGAGGGCAGGGCACTGAGTCAGTACTAACAATAAACCAAGTGAACCTCCTGGACCAAATGGTTCTGGGTAGCCTGCTTGCTTTGGAAAGTGATACTGGGGTGGGAAATGACAGTGGAGATATTAAGGGCTCCTCTGGATCAGAACACTTGGGCATAAGCTCTCCAGACAACAATGGAATGACAGGGAGGGAACTGGCTGATTAATGGATGGTAACAGGTCAGGGGTATTCTCCTGGGGCTGGGTGCTAGCCTGACAAGGTAGAGCATCCTCCAGTTGGCTCCAGGTTCCCTGTTCTGGGAGGGACTTCTCAGTGGCCATGATTTTTCATCACCTACTTCAGTCTCTGTCATTCCCCAGAAGTCTTCAACCCAGGCTGTGTCTGTTTCTGGTCAGCTGCACTGTTGGGCCCCATCCAGGTTTACATACTTTCTGTCCAGCCTCCTGTAGGGACCGGGGCCCCTTGTGATACAGGCTGTTTTCCTTTGTGGAAAATCTTTTACCCAGTTTAATGAGGCTCCAGAGCTGCCCACACAAGTTAGTACATGCTTAGGATGCAGTAGGCACTCTACAAATGCTTAAAAAACACTTGCAATCCCAGTATTTTGGAAGCAGAGGCAGGAAGACTAGGAATTGGAAGTCAGCCTGAGCTATATAGTGAAAAACAAAACAAAAAACAGGCTGGGAAGATGGCTCCATGGTTAAGAGAGTTTGGCTCTTTCAGAGGATCTGAGTTTGGTTCTCAGCATGCACATTGGGCAGGTCACAACTGCTTGCAACTCTAGCTTTAGGTGATCTGACACCCTCTTCTGGCCTCCTAGGACAACTGCACACATGGTGGCATACACATAATTAAAAATCTTTAAACAAAAATCTGGGGCTGGAGAGATGACTAGGCAGGTAAAAGCACTCTTGCAGAGTGCTGAGCTCTAATCACTCACATGACGGCTCACAGTGACATTTAACTCCAGTTTCAGGGGATCTGATGCCTTCTTCTGGCCTCTAAGGGCACATACATACATGCAGACACCCATATGTATATGCACATAAAATAAAAAATCTTTTTTATTTTCTGTTTGAGACAGGGTCTCACTATGTAGCCCTGGCTGGAGCTTACTATGAAGATCAAGATGGCCTCAAACTCAGAGATCTGCCTGTCTTTGCCTCCTGACTGTTGGGAGTAAAGGCTTGCACTGCCATGCCTGGCAGAACAAAATCTCTTAAAAATATTGGGGGATTGAAGCCAGGCGTAGTGGCACACGCCTTTAATCCCAGCATTTGGGAGGCAGAGGCAGGCTGATCTTTGTGAGTTCAAGGACAGCCTGGTCTACATAGTGAGTTCCAGGACAGCTGGGGCTACAGGGAGACCCTGTCTCAAAAACACCAAAAAAAAAAAAAAGGGGGGAAATTGAGGCTCAGAGTCCTTAAGAATCTTATAGAAAAGTCCCAACAACAGGAAACAATCCATGATATAAACCCAAGTCTGGACCTAGAGACCACAACCCTGATCACTGCCCTTTTCTTGTCTTCCTATAGAAGTGACAATTCCCTATACAGTGATAAAGAAGTCTAGGAGGTGACAGTGGAGTGGGGGATATTCAACAGGAAGCAGGGAGACCCCACATACTGCCACAAAGCCAATACCAGGAGACAGTGTGGGTAGAGGTAGGGTAGCTGTGGGCAGAGAGTTCTCCGTATCAGCCTGTTCAGATGTGAGTTTATGGCTTTTTGGGGGGGGTGTCTTTCTGAGACAGGGTCCCCCTGTAACCCTAGCTGACCTGGATTCGCTATGGAGACAAGGCTGGCCTTGAACCAGAAAGATCCACCTGCCTCTGCCTCCAGAGTGCTGGGTCTAAAGGGGTACACCACCAGGTCCAGCTGGGCTTATGGCTTTTTGTCTTTCATAAACTCAGTTTAGCTCTTAGGCACATGGGAAGAGGGGGACTTCAGGGGTTCCTGGATTAAATGCCAGTGGTTTTGCCCCTTCCCTTATGCAGGAATTGATATTTTCCTCTCTTTTGAAGGTCAGAGTCTCCCTGTAGCCCTAGCTGACTAGATCCGTCTGCCTGTCTCTCAAGTGCACCACGGTGCCTGGCGTTTCCCCCCACCTCCAATGATTTTTAGTACATAGCCCAGGCTGGCCTCAAATTTAGGATCCTCCTGCCTTAGCCTCCCCAATGCTGGGATTACATGTGTGCACCCAACACCTTACTTGACACTTTCTCTCTTTTTTTGGTCTTTTTTGAGGTTAAGGTCTTCCTGTAGCCCCAGCTGGCCGGGAACTCAATATGTAGATTAGGCTGGCCCCCATCTCACAGAGATCTACCTGCCTCTGCCTCCAGAGTGCTGGGATTAAAAGTGTGTACCACCATACCCAGCTTTACTTGATATTTTCTTAAAACCACAAAGAAAGAATGAGGCTGGAGAAATGGCTCAGCAGTTAAGAATACTGGCTACTCTTGCAGAGGACCTGGATTTAAATCCCAGCACCCACATAGTGGCAAACAACTGTCTATAACTGCAGTTCCAGGGGATGTGATGCTGACACTGCCCTCTTCTGACTACCTCAGGCATTGCACAACATGGGTGCTCTTACATACATGTAAGCAATACACTCATACACATAAACATAATAAAATATTTTTAAAAAACACAAAGAAAGGGGCTGGAGAGATGGCTCAGCAGTTAAGAGCACTGACTGCTCTTGCAGAGGACTGGGGTTCGGTTCCCAGCACCCATATGGCGGCTACGAACCGTCCTTAACTCTAGTTCCAGGGGAATCCGAAGCCCTCTTCTGACCTCCGCAGCACTGCACGACACAGTGCACTCACATACATGCAGGCAATACACTCATACACATAAAACTAAAATAAAATATTAAAAAACAAAAGCTCCCTACCAAGTCCCACTCTGGTATAATTTAAATATATGTACTTTCTAAAGCAGTTCTAATAACATACCAGTAGTACTTAGGTCTACAGTGAGAGAAACAGAGGTGGCCAGGAAGGGCTTCTCTAGGTCCCGGTACTGTCCGAAGCCCTAAGCAAACAGAAAGCTGAGTCCTGACCAGGCATGGTGTCTGAGAAGAGCTGAGGAGCCCTGGGCACTTCACTTTGGCCACCCAGCTTTCCCAGTGAGGAATAGGTATCTCCGGTGCTCTCAGCTCCCCCTACCAGGGAAATTCCCCTCAATCTCTTCACTTCATTCCATATAGGAGGGGACTGTCCCAGAGAGGTTTGTCTGTTCAGGGTACTCAGTCATCTTGAAGGACGGTGAGAAAGTGCTCACTTCCCTCACAGAGTAGACTGTATGCAGCCCGGCACAGGGCCAGCCAGGGTGGGCCTCGTGGCTCCTGCGTGTTTATCAGAGGGAGGAGTTCAGCCATCAGAACCTGGGGAGCAGCATAGGGCCAAGGCTTCAGTGGGACCTTGTACCAGGTAGCTAGCCCAGGGCTCCTACAGCTGGACAATCCTGGGACAAGCTTCCATTCTCCAGCCTTCCCTCCTAGGGCTTTATACATCCTTCACATGCAATGCACTTGGAGAATCTCCAAACCCACACACAGGCCCTCCTTTTGAGGCTGAGCCCTCAGGAGGCTCAGGTGCCAGCCTCTGTAAGGCCACTGGCTCCCTGATGTCCAGATGATCATGATTACCTCCTGCTCTGCAAGTACCTTTTCTAGGTGAATCTGCTGGTTCAGCATGGACACTTGTAGCTTTAAGGTTGCTAAGGTCTGTAGCTCCTGGGTGCTAGAATAGAAAAGGGGCTCTGGGCTCCAGGAAAAGTCCACCTTACTTCCATAGGGTGACAAGGCCTGAGAAGGCTTCTCCACAAGCCATGGTCCTGGCAGTTGCTCTGTCACAGCTATGAAGACAGAAGTTTGTCGTATCATGAAATGGCAACCATACCTAAGCTGCTGGTTTTCAAACACATCAGTGTTTGGCTTTCTAGACAACTTAGGGTGTGCCAGGGTGTAGTAGGCTTGATATGACAGGGGTTTGTCTACCTCTGGCCCCTGGGCTGATGACCCTTCCTTGAGGCACAGACAAGATGGGCTAAAATGCCAACCCTGGTTCTGACCTAAGCACCATCTGACCTCGGATGGTAGGGGTGGAACCTCACCTGCACGCAGCATCTGCAGCCTGTGGAGACACTGCCTGATTATGGCCTGTAGTCCCTCCAGGGTGAGCAGGCAGCGGTACTCTTGCATCCAGTCAGCAGGTACTACACAAGTTAAGGAGGGCAGGCTGGGTCCATGGTTCTACCAAGACCCTATGTCACCCTTGCCCTCCATCCTCCACCCAAGTTCCAGTCAGAATCACTGACCTGTTGAGAGCTCCTCCTGCATACGCAGTCTCAGCAATGCACAGGCCTTCCGTAGGCTCTGAGCATGCACCTCCACCTCCGCAGCACTGGGCCTATGGCTGGGCCAGCCTGACTAGACATAGGTCAAGGAAACTCTTCTGTGGCCAGTCCCTACCCTCCTATCTGGAGAGATGCCACTGCTATATGGCACTGGCCTTCCCCAAACTTGCCAAGTTTAGAACCCGAACCCACTAGGTCTCCCACCCCCATCCTATGTCAATAAGGATATAGCCATCTGCAACTTCTGGAGAAATTGGGTTTTAGCAGCTCTGGTGGCATCTGTGAAGTCACTGGTTTGTGTAGAGCTGAGCTGGGCCCACAATCTGGAGCATGTACAAGGGCACGCCAGAAAGACAGAGGACAAGGTTACTTTAATGTCAGCCTTGAGAGGGAGATGGAGGTCAAAGGTAGGGGCCCCAGACTGGATATGTGGCTCTGCTACATGGTAGTAGGGGACAATAGAGGCCTCAGGGAAACTCAGACACTGACCAGGACAAGGGGACAGATTTGAGCCTGACATAGTGCAAACACCTGAAAGAAATCAAGTTTGACCTACACAGCACTTCTTTGAAGCAGGGGCTATTACTGTCATTCCAGAAGGAAGACCATCTAGAATTTAGAGATGCCAACTTTCATGTTTGGTTCTTAAAATTCAAGTGGTTGAACTGGGGACTTCCAAGACTGCTGAGCCTGAGGTGACTTAATAGCTCTAGTGAAGCAGACCCTCAACATGGACAGGGATTCCATACAGCGACAAAAGCAGAGGAACCTGCTGGAGGTACTCATAATGGTAATGTTTTTGCTGTATTTCTGTCCCTACTCAGCCTTACCGGGAGTTCTGGGAAGCTGCTTTCTTGAAGGCCACAGGTAGCCTCAGGAGCGTCCTGTTAAAGAAGCCAGTGTTCAGAGCAGCCTTATCTCATTCTAGGACTACTGTTTCTACTCCTGGCTCAGAACCCATTTGGGGTGAGCCTTCTCACCCCCTCTCCTTTGCCAGTCGGATTCTCAAACAAGCTCCTTGAAAAGGGCTTCCAGAGTAGCAAGGGAGCTAGCTCAGTCCAGAGAAGAGAAGGCACGAAGAGCACAGCCTGAGCTGGTCAGACTCCAGCAACTGAGCAGAGAAGGAAGTTCCTCCAGTAAGGGTTTGGGAAGCTTACCCCATCTCCTTGAGTGTGAAGGCTTCTGTGGCCTGAAGAGCAGCTGATGGGGGAATCTGTTGGTCTCTGAAGCCTGCTCCATGCCTGGTGGCTTGGGCTCCCATCTTCACCTGGGTCCTAACTCCCCCTGATATAAGTCTGCACTCAGGGTGGTCTTTGGTAGGGGCTGGAGCCTGGTGGATGCCTTTGGTAGGTCTTGTACTAGATGCATGGCTGCCAGTCTGGCTGGAGACTTGGGGTTGAGCAGAGGCAGTGGTGCCAGAAGGGGTTGCGATAGATGTAGATGTCAGGCTGGGAGCTCTATCTTGTCCAGCCTTCGACATGCCTTTCCTCACACGTACAGCCTTCTCCAATGCCTGGGTCAGAAGCTCCAGCTCCTTGAGGTCTTGGGCACTTGGTGTGCATGCTACAAAAGCCAAGAACCATAAAAGAGTTCCTCATTATTGTTCCAGGATGGTTTCCTCATCACTGCATGCCAGTGAAAGGCCAGAGGCAGCACACGAAAAAAGCAGCTGGAGTTGGGTCCTCTTCCTTGGTTTCTGGAGTTACCTGGAGTTGGGTCCTCTTCCTTGGTTTCTGGCTCTGGAGGTGGCTCTGGAGCTGGGGTCCCGGCTGGTTCCCTGTAGAGACCGGGCAGCTATGGCCCAAACAAACCCCGCCCACAGCAGCTCCCTAGCCCAAAACCCTGGAGGGTAAGGGAGGTGACAACCAGTATCTAGAAAGTGGGTAGCAGAGCCTGGCCTCCCAGCTCTTAGGGGCTCTATGCAATTCCTACGTTCCTGGGGTGGGGGTGGGGTGGATGCTGGCGTACCAAGCTCGCAGCAGCCGCCGGGAGACGCGCAGGCTCCGCTCTAACTGCCGCTGTCGCTCAGAGCAGGAGTCCAGGGCGCCCTGGAGCTCGGACACCAGCCTGGAGATATGCATTGACAGCTCAGCACCCCATCAACCTCGAGACCCCGCGCCCATTTGCCCCGTTCCCGCCTGCCGCGCGAGACCTACCGGCGCGCACAGTCGATGGGTAGCATGAAGGTAGCTTTGGATCGAAGAACTGGGCGGCCGCCACCACCAAGTCCCGACCCTTCCGGGCAGAAGACAGCCCATTTCCGGCCAGACTACCCAATCCTGAGCGCAGAGCCTGCTCCCCGCTCCCCTGAAGCTCCACTCCGCCACTCAGGTTCCGCCCCCTCCGGGGCTCTTCGTTTCTGGATCCCCGACGCCTGCGCAGGTGAGATCCCGGGTGAGGAGCCCGCCTCCGGTTTTGGTAACTGGGTAATGTGCTTCTGGCAGGGTATCTGAACGTCTAATATTTGGTGTTCTGCCTTAACCAGTTTTATCAAAGCAGAGACAAGCTGTCTTGCTGACTCCAGAGTCACTTCAGCAGTCAAGCATTTGGACAAAGGAGGGATGATGGATTAGAATTGGGTTAAGGGACAGGAAGTGTGGGAGTGAATGTTGGGTACCAGAATGGAAAAGCAACTTGTGAAAAGGTGGGGACCGGTGGATGACAGATAGCTGGGGAAGCTGGAGCCCAAAGAATGGCCAAGGAGTGGAAGGAACGGCAGAGGGCCACATGTAAACACTGCTGCTAAAGCCCCCAGCAATGTCCTTTGCCTCAAAAGCTGTTAGGTCACCAAACTTCCCTTATTTTTGAGTTCATGTCTCACACTGAAAGCTCTTTTACCATTCACTCCATTAAAAACAAGATTTCTTTTCTTAAAAATTTTTTTATGTGCATCAGTGTATTGCCTGCATGTAAGTGCACCTGTGTCGTGTAATGCCAATGGAGGTCAGAAGAGGGAGTTGTATTCCCCTGGAACTGGAGTTATGGACAGTTGTTAGCTGCCATATGGGTGCTGGGAATCAAACCCATGTCCTCTGCAAGAGCAGCTTTTAACCACTGAACCATCTCTCCAGCCCCCTCATTATTTTTAAATGGTCTAAGGAAACCCAGGCTGGCCTCAAACTAACTCACTTTGTTCAAACTCTGGGCCTTGTGCATGCTAAGCAAACATTCTATCAACTGAGCAACATGCCCAGACTCATTAGTGCAGTATTTAGATTAAAGCACTATGGAAGATATAGTTGCTCTTGGCTGGGCATGGTGGTGCACGCCTTTAATCCCAGCACTTGGGAGGCAGAGGCAGGCAGATCTTTGTGAGTTCAAGGCCAACCTTGTCTACATACTGAGTTCCAGGCTAGCTGGGGCTACAGGGAGACCCTGTCTCAAAAAGACCAAAAAAGAAAAACAAGTTGGTGCCAGGCATGGTGGCTCACACCTTTAATCCCAGTGCTCTGGAGGCAGAGGCAGGTGGATCTCTATGAGATAGAGGCCAGCTTGGTCTACATAGTGAGTTCCAGACCAGCTCTAGTGACAGGGTAACAGTCTCAAAAAGCAAAACCAAGTTGGCTGCTAGAATAAGCTAGGCCCAGTAGAATTGAAGAGAAACAAGAATAAGCAATGAATCCAAGCCCCTTAAAGGGGCTAAGAAGTAGGGTAACTCTAGCTGTTTAGATAAGGGACACAAAGGAGTTGAGCCTAGGGTGCTGGGCAGAGAAGGGGGCTGAGACCTGGGCAGTCCCTATACCACACTTTAGGATAGGGCTTGGGCACCCCTGCTTCTTGAGTCTTTGGAAAAGTAGGCAGACCCTAGTGGCCAGGGGATACTGAGGTGACAAGACTGGGAGAGGGAGGGAGACACACAGCTGTCAAGGAGCCCCCAGTGTTTGCTTGGAGTAGTTTCTCCAACAGGTGCAGGCTGCGTTTGATTTTAAAAAATTTTTATTTTATGTGTTTGAGTGTTTTGTCTGCATGTATTTTTAAAAGATTTTTAAATTTTGTGTGTATTGCTTACATGTATGTAAATGCACCCATGTTGTGCAATGCCCAAGGAGGTCAAGAGTGTTGGGAGTCCCCTGGAACTGGAATTAAGAGATAGTTGTTAGCTGCCATGTGGGTGCTGGGTACAAAACTAGGGTCCTATGAAAGAACAGCCAGTGCTCTCAACTACTTGTGCATTTGTCTAGCCCTGAGTTTTTGATTAAAGGATGCATTATCACTCATGCCAAGAGTCTCATCACATTTAATCCTCACAACACCCCTGTGAGGTAGGTATTACTGCCCCATCTTACAGATGAGGAAACAGGCTCATACATGCCCCCAGAAAGCCAGGTCAATGGAGTAGACCATAATTCAAACTCCTGGGTTCTCCTTACCCCAATCATACTCCAGCCAGAATCTTAACAGTAGCAAGAACAGCTGCTACTGGGGCCATCAACAGACAGAAAAGCACACAGATAAGTGAACACTGAGCAAACATTTCTCTATTCCTGTATTTTAGGTCCAAGGACACTTGGGGACACTCCTGGCCAAGTGGTTCTTTAAGAGAGAACAAAAGTATGCCTGCAGAGGCTGGGTGTATACCTTTGATCCCAGCACTCTAGTGGCAGAAGCAGGTTGAGGCTAGCCAGGGCTTCATAGTGAGACTCCCCAGGCACTGTGGACAGCTGCCTCACAAATCCAAGGCCTCCCACACAGACAGGCACTCTTGCAGAACAAGAAGCAGAGTTTCTGACCAGCACAAAAGGACAGTGATCTGCTTTCTTTGAATGGAATCCAGTTATAAGTCAGGGGAAAGTCCTGACTTCTCTGCTCTTCTGCCTCTTTGTCACTTCAATTACAAGTCAAGTGATTGTTTTCTGGCTGTACTCAGGGAAAAATTCTTTTTCCATAAAGTACACAAGGATAGCACCAAGGGGCTGGTATCAGTCTTTCCTTTTTTTGAAATAAATCTTACTAGTCAGCCCAGGCTGGCCTGGAACATCTGATCCTCTTGCCACATATTTCTGACTGCTGGAATAGGAATATCAGGTATGAGCCACCATACATGGCTAGATTTTTTTCAGTTGAGGCTAAATAATATTGTCAATTTGTTGTCTTTTTACTTAATAACCTCTATGTAAAATTTTTCATTTGTTTTCATTAGAAGAAATCCAGAAATAAAGATGGGAAAGGAATGGCCTAGAAATTCAGTGCATAAAGGTGGTCACATAGATACAACGGGACACAGATAAACCACTTTGGGAGGACAGATTTCTGGCTCAAAGTGCCAGTGGGAGAGAGCCTGCGGCCACAGCATCAAAGTCCACACACTTGTTGATGAGGCTATAGTCAACACTTATATGAAGGGACACGGACAGGTTTCCCAGGTTGAGGGGAGTGAGGAGATAATGTTGTGTTCAGATGATATCTCCCCACTGGCCTAAAGCAAGACATGCCAGTAAGGATTTGAGCTGTGTTAGGCTACTTGGGTCACTCGTATTCTGAGCCAGGAAGCTGTTAGCTCCTGGCCTGGGATTGAGCAAACCAGCACACAAGCTGAGGCTTCCAGAGACAGCAGGACACAGAGACATGGGTTTTACACTGTGTGGCATGACTGTTTTGAGGCTGTTTTCCAGCAAGAAGCTGAGCTTTTCACTGAATTTGATGTTATGGTGACTCACACTGAACTTCCTGGACAGAGAAACCTGGTGCTCACCTGGGGTCTACACAGCACCCATATGCAGTGTCCCACACCTCCTAGTGAAACAATAGCCCTCTCTCAGTAAACATTCACCATGGCAAACGCTGATACACTCAGAGTTTCAGGAAGCCTAAGTTCGTGTCCTCATCACTGTGCACAGATAGGTTTTGGCGCTTTACCTGTCGCTGGGGAACACTGCTCTCTGGGGGATTGGGGGAACGACAGTGTAAACATGACTTCTTGGCCTGATGGTGGCAAGGCTGTGTGTTTGAGTCACTGCCCAGGGACAGGACTGAGGTAGATTGGGGAGGGCCCCCCAGGCTGCCATCGATGGAGTTTGTGGGACTTGCGCTGCTGACGGAGGAGTAACCTGAGGTCGTGAGGTCCTTGCCAGGCTCTCCCCTGTTGTAAAGAAGGGGCTTTGGAATTGGAGTTGGCAGTGTCTGGGTGTCTGGTGCCTGGTGACCCTTGTCCTCTGGACAGGCCTCCTCATCACTGGATTCCTGGCAGCAGTGCTGTTCTGGGTTTAGGTAAACCACGGTGACATCAAGGATTCCACTGGGAGTTGTGACTGTGGAAAATGTTGAGGGAAAGTGTTTATGCCATAGCTTAAGCATCAAAAGTGACCCTCTACCTGTTCAGGACCAGGAAGCCCGGTATATAGCTTTTAGCCAGGATAGTTTAAAAGACTCAGTGCCAAGCCAAATATTGTCCCCCTGGCTGTAGAGACTGCTATTGCTTGAAAGTCATGGGGTGACATGTTTTTCTCAAGGTATGAAGGTTGCCCCTCAGTGGTCATTTGAGTGGACGTAAAAGCAAAAGGAAAAAAACAACAGAAACTTGCCCAAATTGGTCTTCCTGGCTAGGATATAAGAAACAGGACAAGGCTCAAATATACCATGTGACACATCTCAATGTTATAAATACCAGGAAATCCAGACAGGATCTGCTTAAGTGAGGCCTTCAACCAACAGTGACAGATGAAGATGGACTCAGGTTTAGTCTATATCCCCCTCCCCCATACCCCATGGGGTGGGAGAACCCCCTGGTCCCAATGTTTCAGGTTCTGTTCTCATGCCTCATGGACCCTCTCTATCTCAAACCACATATTCCTCCCCTTAGCACAGTGCCAGGTGGCTCTCAGATTATTTGTCTTCTGCATGACATCCCCCGCCACACTCACCATCACCCTCCTTCTCGCCTTCACTCTCCTGGTCGCCTTCATAGCCAGAGCAGCAGTCCAGGCTCCAGTCTAGAAGGCTATCTAGCAGCGTCTCCTCCTGACTGGAGAGCTCTGCAGTGGGTGTGGTGACAAAGCTACCCCTGTCTTCCTGGAGGCTGTTCTCCCGCTTCCTGTGAGGTGGAGAGAGCCCAGAAAGCCCTGGTCACAAGTGGCAGTGCTTGGAGGCCCAAGCTGGTCCTTTGTATCTGCTTTAACATCTGTATACCCTGGACCCTTCCTTTTTGCTCTGGAAAACACACATGAAGTAGAACAAGTGCGAGCCCTTGAGAGCAGCAGCCTAGCTGGAAGGACTGGGCAAAATCAGGCCCTAGTCTGGAAACTGGCAGAAAGACATCACCCCTCCAGGGTGCTTGATGCCTCCGATGTGAACAATACTGGGCCTGGTACTGAGCAGACTGTACAATCTGTCTGTCTTTGGACAGGGTCCTCAAACCTGCCCCCCTAGGGTCAAGACTGGAGAACTATAGTATGGGTCTTGCCTTTGGGCAAAGCTGACATACCCACCAGGCCTTTCTGCTCCTGACTTAAGGGTAAACGTGGCTATCCCTGTGCCAGCCCCCGCCCCCCCAACACAGTTATGCATGTCTGACCTATCCTTAGGGTGTTTCTGTCCCTGGATAGTCAGGGTGCCAACTACAGAGTAAGATGTAAACAATGGGTCTCTTAGGAGGACCCAGGTCTCCCACACTCAGAGTGAAAGATGCTGTCATGCTTCTTGTCAGGAGTTAGTTTGCTTCTGTATCTGTTGCTTCCTCAGGGCTTCCCAAGAGATCAGGGTCTTCCCATCCACCAAAGAACACTCATGGTTCTGTATTGTGACAGGTAACACCCAGCCATCCAATGCCTGACCTAAGGTTACTCAGGAGCATTTAGGGTACTGTGGTGGAATCCCAGAGGCAGGACTGGCACAGAAGGGAACCTGTCCCCTGAGCTTTGCAAGATCAACAGGAGTTCAGGTGGGTAAAATAGAGATAAGTTACTCTAGGAGGTATAGCCAAAGCATTGGTATGTGAGACAGGGATAAACAGAACTACACATAGGCAAAGAGGGAGGAAAACAAAGGGGCAGGGGAGTACCAAGGACCTTACTCAGGTTACCACCCAGCTACCAGCAGTGACTGCCATATCATGGAGCAGAGAAGCCCAGGGGCATTATAGTGTAGGCATGGCAAGAGCCCAAACAGGATCTTCTGTGCTCAGGACCATCTCCCCGAAAAGGAAACGGATAAACCAAGACAGACACTGGCCTCTGACAAAGGAGGACTAGGCTGGAACACAATGCTGAGAGCAGAGCACCTGGATTAAACTTATGATCTGCTGTTCCTTTGCAGCCCTGAGACGGCAGTAGTGTCAGGAAGGAACTTGGATCTGACATAAGGAGCCAGCATGCTGCTGCATGGTTACAGACAGGGTGACGTGAACTCACCGTTTGCTTCTCCGTCCAGAGGGAGAGCTGAGGAAGGTGTGGATTTCCCCTGTGCTAGGAAAAGAGGAGGGCTCTAGGCTCTCCTGCTTTACTCCTAGGGCACTGCACAACTGGGCGTAGCTCAGCACCTGCAGGGATAGCAGAGTTGGTGAGAGTAAAACACCCTAATCCCACCCAAGCATTCCTACCAGGAGGAGCCTAGGTGACAGGAAGGAGACATACCTCTTCCTGGCTGATTTCTTCATAGCGCTTATCCTCAAATCGTTGCTTCACAGCTGTCAGAGAAACTTGCCTGTAGTCCTTGGGTGTGTCATCATGGAAGCTAGACAAACAAGCAGATGTGAACTTCACTGATTCAATTTTAGTCAAATTCCCCCAATCGGAAAGGAGGACAAACTTTCAAAACCTGGCCAGTTATGAGGATGTACAACTGCTCAGCCTGGCAATTCCTCATACGGTTATAGGAGGAAGAGAAACACCCAGAGAACTTTTACAAGAATATTCACAGCAGCACTATTCACACTGGTCACCAAAGCATACATCAGTGATTGGACAGATAGACAAAAGGTGGTCCATCCACACAACATTTTACTCAAGTGCTGACACATGTTTCAACATGAACCTGGAAATAGGATGCTTGGTGAAAGAAGCCAGACTCATCAAGTGGCAAATTGTGACTGTTTCATACAGAATGTCCAGAATGGGCAAACTCAGTGACAAAGAGCCAGTGAATGGCTGCCAGGGTCAAACAAGTTGGGAAATTGATAAGTGACATCTAAAGTGTGTGGGTTTTTTTTGAGAGGTATTACAAATGTTCTAAAATCGATGTACAATTCTGAATATACTAAAAGCCTTTCAAGTATACAGTTTTTAGTAGTTTATAAATAAATGCTTCCAATTTAACTGGTCTGAAATAACAACAAAACAACATCTAGAGACATATCTCAGTGTTACAATGTCTGCTTAGCTGGGCTCTGGGTTCTATCCCCAGCATCAGACAAAACCAAAACATAAAAACTTTACAAATAAACACAACTTAACTTCTGGTGGCTAGTATCAGGTAATAATTAGTATGAGTACATTCTAAGACACTGACCTTGAGTCACCCTGGTTCCTCAGTCATCACCATAGGAAAAAAACAGGGTGGGCAAAAACCAAAATGCCAATAGGTCCCTGTCAATGGAGTACATTAGGGGACAGGAGAAAGGGCAGGTGGGCAGAAAGGCTGGTCAGAGGGCTGTGGCCACTCTAGAGCGTTTTGACCTTATCCTAGAAGCTAAGAGTGAGGCTCTGGGCTGATAGAAATAGAAAGGACATGGGGCTCGAGAGATGGCTCAGCGGTTAAGAACTTAGTTGTTCTTGCAGAAGACCCGGGTTTGAATCCCAGCACCCACATGGCAGCTAACAACTGTCCATAACTCCAGTCCCAGGGGATCCGATAGCCTCTTCTGACCTCCAAGGGCATTGCATGAAATGGGTGCACTTACCTACATGCAGGCAATACACGTATACACATAAAATTAAAAATTAAAAAAAAATAAATAAATAAAAAGGACATGCTGTGAGGTGGCTGCCTTGGTATTCTAGGAGGCAGCCCAGAGGGAAAGCAATAAACTAGAGGAGAAATGGAACGCCCAGTCAGAGCAGAGGGTAGTAGTGTAGACATGTGGGCAAGGTGGTTAGGGCTGGGGTTGGGAATTCAAGTTAGCTGCAGCTCCTCAGGGTGGAGGCAGTGAGGACAGGAGAGCCAGACAGAAATAGTATAGCCTGGAGGAAAGACGCAGTACCTCAAAGGAGGGCAGCAACAAGCAAGCAAGGCAGACAGGAAGTGGGACCATCAAGTCTGCAAGTGGAGCCAAGAAGGGAAAAGATAGGGAAGCAACCACAGATGCAAACCCAACCCTGTGTCCTACAACTCTCCACTTACAGGGTCTCTACTTGCAGCCAACAGCCCCACTGTCTGTACCTGTCCTTGAACAGGTGCTCCCTACCTGGGGCATGGATGCGCTTTCTTCAGGGGAACCTGGCCCTGCTCAGATACCAGTTCCCCACCTACCACCCCCCACTACCTATGGACTCCATCACTACCTGACACCCTATACAGACTGTGCTATTCTGGCCTCTATCTCAGCACTTGGTAGAGAAGGGGTACTGTGGGGTAAGCAGAGAGACAGAGCAAAAGTGCACAGGGGGTGGAGGTGGAGTGGGAGTGAATACAGAGCAGTAGGGTCTGGAGCATAGGCAAAGGGCAAGCTGTTAGAGCTCAAGGCTGAGATGGATGAGTACAAAAGGCAGGAAGAGACAAAGACTGACGGTGAAGAACCCTTTGCCTCCTCTTCTTCAACAAGACAGGTTCTCTCAATCTGAAACATGTTAAATAAGTCCAGTCCTGGGATTTTTAAAATGTCAACCTGGGGTTAGCAAGATGGTTCCATGGGTAAAGGTGCTTGCTGAGTAAATCTAATGACCTAAGTTTGATCCCTAGAACCCACAAGAAGGTGGAAGGATAACTGACTCCACAAACTTGTCCTTTGACCTCCACACACACGCTGACATGTGCACTCATACATGCTGTAATAATAATAATTTTTTTTTGGTCTTTTTGAGACAGGGTCTCCCTATGGCCCCAGCTGTCCTGGAACTCACTATGTAGATCAGGCTGGCCTTGAACTCACAGAGATCCGCCTGCCTCTGCCTCCTAAGTGCTGGGATTAAAGGCGTGCACCACCACGCCCAGCTGTAATAATAGTAATTTTAAAATGTTAACCCTGAGGAAGATTTATGGCAGCTTAGACACAACTAAGTGGCAGCTACCATGTGAAGAACACACTATGTAACTCAGGTTGACTTTGAACTCACAACCCTCTTGCCTAGCCTCCCTAGTGCTGGAATTAGAAGTGTAGATTGAGACTCACCACTTTTTATGAAGGCTCAAGACACAGGGCGTGAGGTCTTCATAGGAGAATCCAGTGAGGTCCCAGAGTTGAGTGGTCCAGGGCTGTGCTGGGGAAGAAAGCAGGCAGGGAATGTGACAGCACTCTCATAACTCTTCTAGTTTTGTAGCATATTTCTGGAGCTCAGGCTTGTAGGCTTTAAAATACCCTTCAGGGCTGGAAACTTGACAACCTGAATTTGATCCCTGGAACCCATAAGGTGGAAGGATAACTCTCACAAATTATCCTCTGATCTCTACCCTTATACTATGACATGTGAGTATATATGGCATGCACACACAATAAATATATAAATGTAAATAAATAAATAAATTTAATAAGTACCCTAGAAAAGACTCCATATAAGTGATGCAGACTGTGGAGAAACTATACAATGCTTCAGCTAAAACCATCTCATCTCATCTCCCCCTGGAGAACCACTTATGGCTAATTCTGCTCCAGGATGGATAGGGAAGTGTTATTACTGCCACTCCCCCCTCTCCTATCTGAGAATGTCCCCTGACACCAGGAACTCCCAGGAAGGCCACTGCTTACTCTGCCCGTGCATCAGTCTGGCCAGGAGCAGGGCTGCAGAGGCCAAGTGGGCTGGGGCGTAGATGGACAGGCTGGTGTGCAGCAGGGAGAGCTCACAAAGGAAGCTATACAGGTGCTGGGTTTTGGGTGCGATGGGGACCAGCGTCAGCAGGACCTCTTTATAATCAACCACAGTAGGGATCTAGACAGAAGAGGGAAATGAGTATGGAGTCTTGGTCACTCAGTGTCATGTTGAGGTATAGCGTAGAAAGAGTCTGGCCTGGATGTTCAAGCTGTAATGATGCACTGCAGCCATGGCCTCTTGATTTGGGTGCAGCACAGATAGCTGCTCTCCACAACAGTAACAGCTTGATGCCCCCAGCTTCTCCCACCACCTCTTCCAGGACTTTAAACAGAGACAACTTTGATTCAAAGGAAAAAACAAACCCATACTTACTCGAATCTTCCCTTCCAGAGCAGAAACAATCTCTCCCATCATTCGTACCAGGTCCTCGTACTTGTATGTATTGTCTGTGAGCCACACGGCCTCTCTAATTGTCAGAATCTCTTTGCTGATGAACCTGGAATGTGGAGACAGCATCTAAGTCCTGAGCCTATCTACTTTCTGACCCTGGGATATAGCTCAGGGGACCTCTGACTAACAAGAAACTTTAAAGGTGCTAGAAAGGCAGCTAAGGCAGGACACAAAGGCAGTGCTACAGGGGAGATAGGAGTATCTCTCTAAAAGGACCCATGAGTAACACTATCATTCAGTTCTCTTTATGACCTTATGGATGACTTTCATTGTGGTATTGTGGTTGAAACCCAGAGCCTCAGGCACCAAGCGAGTAAGCATGGCCAACTAACTAACCCTTCCTGGCACTGTCACCCTTGAGAGCTGGGGAAAGTATAGTCCAGCCTGCCCAAGTCCATGCTCTGGGTCATGACACTATGTTGGAATACAGACATCCTGCAGAGTGGCAGCTAACATGCCAAAGGTCAAACCTGCCATTCTCACTTGCAGAAACAGCAGGCTTGGGAGTTCCACAACTGAGTTCCTGCCTTATCTTTTGACAGTATCTGAGTATAAACAATTTAAATCAAATAGGTAGGTGAGCTACTACTGGGAGCATGGGTTGGAAGCAAATGGTGCAGAGGTTGTTTGAAGGTCTATGCATAGTACAGTGTTTGGTACAGGAATCCTGACGATCCCTGAGGCAGGTGGGTACACTGTCAACTATCAGAACATTCTACTCCAGTGGTCCCACAGGCACATTCCCCAGCAAATGTGAACAAGGGCCAAGTACATTTGCTGCTTAATCCTGGCACTCCGCAGTGCTCATCTTTGCTACTGGCCTGACAGAGGGGACAGAAGAGGGATAGGAACTATACCTGCTGGTGTAAAGGTCACATGTTTAAAAGAGGGAATGTGGACCGGCTTATGAGAGCCCTGTACTGGGGCCTGGGGTGGCTGGTGGGGAGCAGGGGCAACAGAGGTTCTGAGAGCAGAGTCAAGTCATCTCATCCTTGAAAAGATTTTATGTGTGGAGCTGGGATTGAACCCAGAGTCTCATACATGCTAAGCAAGCACTCTACCAGTGAACTATTGTACATTCCAGCCCTTTTGGTTTTATTTTGAAACAGGATCTTGCTAAGTTACTAAGGCTGGCCTTTAACTCAGTGTAGAGCCCAGGCTAGCCTTGAAATTGCAATCCTCCTGTCTCAGCCCTCCAAGTAGCTAGGATTACAAGTGTATGTTGCCATAACCAGCTTAAAAAAAAAATTTTTTTTTTTGAGATAGGGTCACAGTATATAGCCTTGACTGGCCTAGAACTCTATGTAGACAGGCTGGCCTTGAATTCAGAGATCTGCCTACCTCTGCCTCCTGAGTTCTGGGACTAGTGTGTGCTACCACACTGGCTCCCCAGCTTAAAAAATTTTTAAGTATATATCTGCTTGTCTGTAGCCTAGTAACATGGTCCTAGGCTCTGAAGATTTAACTGTGTTGTTAGATTCATGGAAGCAGCAGTCTCAGTTTGGTGGTTCTGGTCAGAAGACTTGGGCTAGGAGATTCAGGTCCAAGAGTACATTTGAAGAGGGCTCGGTATGGCAGGATCTACTTGTTATCCCTGAAGTCCATGACTCTTCCTTCTGTGGTAATACAACCATGCTTCTCAGCTGGCACATAGATACCCAAAGGGGTTACAGTGTCCATGTGGCTAGATATGACCATGTGACTAACCTGTTTGGAAGACAGACTTGACATGGCAGCTTTGGGGATCATGGGACTAAGGGAAACCCCTGGGGGCTGGTAGAAAGCAGGATGAAAGCTAGGGCTCATGACCTCATGAAACAAAAATCTATCCCAGTGGCCCCCCTCTGCCTGGGATTCCTATGCAAGAGAGTGGTAGGAAGTAGTAACAATACTCAGTACAGTCAAAGCTACTCCTAACCCACTAGACGTAGGAAGCAAGGAAATCAGTTCTGGAATAAGGTACTTTATAGAGGAAATGGCAGATCATGCTGGGACATTGGTTTAGGAAAACAAGAAAAAGCAAACCACATTTGTTTTTGTTTGTTTGGTCTTTTGTTTTTTGTCTTTTTGAGACAGGGTATCTCTGTAGCCCCAGCTATCCTGGAACTCACTATGTAGACCAGACTGGCCTCAAACTCACAAAGATCCGCCTGCCTCTGCCTCCCAAGTGCTGGGATTAAAGGTGTGAGCCACCGCGCCTGGCATTGTTTGGTCTTTTAAAGACAGGGTCTCCCTGTAGCGCCTTCTGACCTGGAACTCACTATGTAGACCAGACTGGCTTCAATCTCACAGAGATCCACCTGTATCTGCCTCCTGAGTGCTAGGACTAAAGACATGTGCCACCACACCTGGCACAAACCATATTTTGAAAACTGTCTTCCACTTTGTTTCCAGAAGCAAAACCAGGGTAAAGGCAGGCTTTGGCTGAAAGCAGGTTTGAAGCAAATACAAAGTGATACAATTTGAAAAGTAAGACCTATCAGGGAGCAGACTGCTGGGGAAACTGATAAAGATGAGAACTCTCCTTAGAGATGAAGTTCTGTGATCTCTGAAGACTGAGGAGGGTAAGGGTAGCCAACTATAACCCTTCCTGGCACTGTCACCCTTGGGAGCTGGGATAAGTGTGGTCCAGCCTGTGCCTGCCCAAGCCCATGCTCTGGGTTATGAGACTGTATGGGAATAGAGGCATCCTGCACAGTGACATCTAACATGCCAATGGTCAACTGCCATCCCCACTTGCAGAGGACAGCAGGCTTGGGTGCTTCTCAACTGAGCTGGGTAGGATCCTTTAAAAACCAGTCACCACAGGGCTGGAGAGATGACTCAGCAGTTAAGAGCACTAATTGTTCTTGCAGAGGACCGATAATGACAGCTAACAAGTGTCTGTAACTCCAGTTCCAGGGGCTCCAACACCTTCTTCTGACCTCCTCCTCACTGCACGACATGAGTGCACTTACACACATGCAGGCAATACCAGCTGAGGAAAAAAAAAAAAAAAAAAAAAAACAAAAAAAACACAAAAACAAAAACAAAACCAGTCACCAGAATAGGAAGGATGGTGGCCCCTGCACATAGAAGGGCCAGCACAAATGCACACCAGGCCTGCCAGCTGGGCTAAGGGGTTTCTTACCGGGTGCAGATGACCATGCAGGCAATGCCCAGAAGCTGGAGCTTGTACCGGGGTACCAGCCTCCTCCGCAGGTACCGGTCCACACACTCCACTGTCAGGTGAAGACATAAGCTTGTGAAATCCTTCATTGTGGCAACTTCCACCAGCCAGTCAATCAGAATGTATCTGTGGAGACAGGGCCACCAATGAAAACTGGGACAAGTATTTCACATTCCAATTTCTGTTGAAGCCCGTTTAGTTTAACCTGAGCAAATGAGCTGGTCATCTGTGGAACTGCTGGTTTACCAAGCTAGAGACTCCTTGTCTCAGGGAATTTGGGATGCCTGCAGCTGTTCCTGGAAGGCTGGTGGGTTCATAGATCTCTGCACTTTACCTCCCTCCCTCAGGCCTACACATTCCTAGTGCTCACAAATGCATGGACTTTGGGACCTCTACCTAATGCAAAGTGAAGTCAGCCCTCAGCCTTGACAGCACTAGCTAAGCTCTACCCTTAGCAGACATCAGGATAAGGTGGGTTGCATGGCAGGGCTGGAGTTGGATCACAGCTCTCAAGATTAGAAAAAAAAAAGTCACTTAAAGTGGCAAGAGTTTCAGCTGCTCTGCACACCCAAGTTCTCCTGTACAGATCCCATAGCACAGTACTCTGCAGAGGATCAAAGAGCCAAGAATGTCAACAAAGCAAGAACATCTCAGTCCTTGCACTGGAGTCCTGGTTCACTCATCAAGCAATCCAGATGGATGCCCAGACACTAGAAGGCTAACAGACATGTCCGGGTCCCTTTCTACCAAGGAGCTAAAGCCTGAGGACCAGGTTATAAATAATCACAAGACAGTGTCATAAGGATATCCCAATATGGTTACTGCATCTTTGAACAAGAGACATTTGTTTAAAGCAGAGGGGCCCAAGCCAACAAGAAGCAATCAAACAGTGATGATGTGGGACTCTTAGAACAGAAGGAGCGGGAGAGATGGGTTGTGGTGAAGAAGGGAACAGGTAAGACTATTTTCTCCCAGAAAGGTCAGGTGTTTGAGGCTTAAACTAGACAGGAATAAACAGACTAGGAAGTGCCCCTAAGCAGACAGAATAAGCTTAATAATCTGACTTTTTTTTTTCCTTGACAGGGTCTCCCTGTAGCCCCAGCTGACCTGGAACTCACTATGTAGACCAGGCTGGCCTCACAGAGATCCACCTGCCTCTGCCTCCTAAGTGCTGAGATTAAAGGCGTGAGCCACCACGCCCAGCTGACCTTTGTTTTACCTATATGTTAAATGTGACATGTGGAAACCAGAAGGCAAAGTGTCAGATTCCCTGGAACTGGAGTTACAGACAGACAGCTGTTAGGTGCCATGTGGTGCTGGGCACTGAACCTGGGTCTTCTGCAACAGCCATTGCTCTTTTTTTTTTTTAAATTCTCATTTTATATGTATGTGTGTATTGCCTGTATGTAGGCAAGTGCACCTGTGTCATGCAATGCCTGCAGAGGTCAGAAGAGGCTGTCAGATCCCCTGGGTGTGGAGTTATGGACAGTTGTTAACTGCCATGTGGATGCTGGGATTCGAACCTAGGTCTTCTGCAAGAACAACCAGTGTTCTTAACCGCTGAGCCATCTCC